CTGAGCTGCCGTCCTGCTCCGCGACCGCAGCACCGACCCGCCCGCAAGCGGCGATCCGAGAGGCCGGGCGGTGTGCGACGGGACAGGGGCGTTCGGGGGCTCCTGGCACTGCCTCCTCTCCTGCCGCCCCCCAGCCCCTGCGTGTCCTGTCCCCCTCCCGGGAATACTGCGCGCAAAACGGCCCCGCGGCCCCGGGCGCACCCGCGGAGGGGCAGCGGGCCGGGCAGCCCGCTCCGAGGGCACCGTCGGCGTAAGCAAAGGCGCATTCCGCCTGGCCTTCCTAGGGCCAATAACACACCGTTTGACCTCTGTGTATTTGCAAACTTGCTTGATGCATCGTTTATTTTTATAGCTTTTAAAGCCTTCCACACCAATCTCAGCGACGAGGGCCTGCCCGACAGGGCTAGAAATGTCCAGGGCGCTCCTGCTTTTCCGAAGGGCGATGTTAGGAGCTATTGGAGGTGACAGCTCGAGTGCAAACAAACGCGGAGGAGCCGGGGGAAGGCGGTGCAGGTGGCCCGGCCCGAGTGGGCTCCGACGTGCGGAGCTGGAGCCCCGCAGCAGTGGCCCTGGTTCCAGCACCAGCCCGGCGGGCTGGGCAGCGAGCGGCTCCCTGCAGAGCGCGGCCCCCTCTGCCCTGCCCGGAGCAGGGGAGGGGGGCAGCGAGGGAGCAGCCGCCGGGGCTGCGAGGACACCGGTCGCTGCTACTGCCGCGCCTGCGACGGAACTTCGGGCTTTTTTTTTTTTTTTTTTTAACCCATTCTTACGGAAATCGCAGCATCATGCCGGTCGCAGTGGAGAAAATCTGACTCCGAGGCTCAGCTCTGCTCTAAAACCAAAACCCTCCGTGTCCCCTCGTCCCCAAGCCGCGCGCGGGACGTTACGGAGGGGAGCGCGCCCCTCTGCCCCTCACCCAAATCATCCCCAAGACCCGCGCAGCGGCGGGCTGTGCCAGCAGTCACAGAAAAAGCCAAGGGACTTTTATTAACTACTCACCAGTCACACACAGGGAGGACTAAGCCCTTCGCAGCCAAACCCGGGAGCTGCTTCAGCGGCAGCCCCAGCTCCCCAGGGCAATCAGAGGAATCCCATCCCCGCCCCGGGAATTCCAGCGGAACCGCCGTTCTCAGCCTTCTCCCTCCACCTTCGAGAGGATCTCCGCTCCCTCCGGCGTGATCACAACGGTGTGCTCAAACTGCGCCGATCTGAAACGCACGTTTGGCCACCGTCACGGAGCAGAGGCGGCCGGCAGCGCCCGCCCAACTCACCCGCGATCCCGGCGCCGGGATCCCCTCCGCGAGCGAAGCCGGGCACCTCTTTTTGTCTACAGAGACCGCCGTCCACTTGTCCTTCAGAATCTGAAACTCAGGGGATCCTTCCATTATTATTGGCTCTGTAACACGGAAAAAAAAAATGCTTTCCAAACTTAGTCGCAGTTCTGCACCGGGAAGCAAGGAAGAAAAGGTGTGTGGGGGGAAAGCAGGGATCTCCCCTCCGGAGCTCTCCCTCCTCGTCGGGCAGCTGTCTCGTAAAACTCAAATCTGAACTAAAGAGGAAGACGAACTATTAAGGTAGAAAGTTGCTTTTTTTTTTTTTTTCTTTTTTTTTTTTTTTTTGCTAAAAGACAGGAATTTTAATCAAGCCTTAATTAAGACCCCACGGATAATAACCGAAGCACCAACCACTCTTGAACAGCAAATAGTTTGAAATATCTGATTTAAAAAAAAAAGGCTTAAAATGTTCATTAAATCAGCAAAACACCAATTTTCTTATTTCCCCCTAATTGCCGCGCCGTCGAGCGCGCCGGGAGGACGCGGCTCTCGCAGCACTGCCCTGATTGGCATTTAGCGCCTTCCCGGCCCGGGGCCGCCCGCCCCCAGCCCCCCGGACCCGACGGCAGCTCTGTCACCGCTAAGTGACATAAGAGGCATCAGATACCTCGGCGCTAAAGCAGCATCTCGGTGACAGAATTAGATCCCTCTTGCTTCTGCGCAGCCCGTCCGGAGTGAGCTGGCCCGGGCTCTGCCTTACCCAAGTATGCTTCGTTCAATAAGATTTATCCAAGGTCTTTCCTTTTAGAAATCTTAGCACTTGGCAGCTCGCGCATCCAATTATTTCCTCGCTGCAATTTAATGTGACGTTTTAATCTGCTTCCTACAGGCTTCGTGCAGCTGCATCCCCACAGCTGAACGGGAATTTCTTGAGTCTAATAAAGGCATGGCACGGCCCGGGGTTGCTTCGGGTGTTTTCTTAAAGCAAAACATGCCAGACGGGTACTGACCTATTGTGAACGCCATTCCCTCTTCCATTAACAAATCACTGTCATTGGCTGCAAAAGAAAATAAAAACGCTCTTACAGTTGTGCAGAGAGTAGTTTTACTTTCTTGTCGTTGTTTTTGTAACCGTTCCCAGCACTTGGCTGCACCCCGCTTTGCCCTGCAGGTGCCACGCTTAGCGATGCCGGCGAAGAACACCGGAAAGCGGGGCCGCGCTTACCGTGGTGCCACACCTCAGGGTGCCCATGGAAGTAGGAGCCAATGCCGTGGCCAACGAAGCCCGGACACACGTGGAAGCCGCTCCGATGCGCTATGGAGCTGCGGGGGCAAAGACGACACTGTGAGGGAGCCCCCCATGCCAGCCCCCGTGCCCTCCGGCTCCTGCCACCCCCGCAGGCACGTCTCCGCTCTGAAGGAAGCAGCCATCAGGGCTGGCAGTGAGGTGCCGTTGTTAGGTTTCAGAGTTAACGCGCCTGCAGAAGCGGGCAGTGTGCAGCGGGCTGGGCAAGATGGCAGCAGCTTGAACCTCTCTCTTTCACAGGGCAACCTGCTTCAGCATGGGGCAGCCCACTCGCCACGCAGCCACACGCTGTGTCCCCTTCCAAAACACTGGCAGCCTCCAGTGCAGCAATGGGCTGCTTCTCCAGACAACCTGCCCATGCCTGGGACTTTTCCAGATCGTTTGTCTTAGAGCACAGCCAGACCCCAACTCTTCAGGCCTGTGCACACGTGCACCTTGCAAAGGCTTCCTTGCAGTTGGACTTCTGGAGGATGAGCAGGAAAGTTAAGAAACTCAAATAAAGGTGCAAAATCCTCTCACAGAAATTAAAGCATATTAAACCCCATGGGGAGGCTCTTATTCAGGTCCAAAGTGACCTCAGATCACTTAGATCGTTGTACACAGTAATCCCTTTGGATATGAGGCTTTACTGACCCTGCGGCGCCCGTTCCAGTACCCATGTGTCACAACCAAAGAATTTAATGCTGCTGCAATTGAAGTACATGGTGCTCTGCCACCAGGAACTGGCACTGCAGAGCCGACCGGGTCAATGGC